GGACGGCCCGCCGCCGCCAGCGCCGCGTGGGCAGGGCCCGGCGGCTTCGGCCGGCGGCGGCGGGGATGGAGAAGGACGGGGAGGAGGCCGAAGGAGAAGGGGCAGGGGGCCGCCCGTCGCCCGCGGGGGGCCGAGCGGGCGGACAGGTGCGCTGGGGAGGGGGGGAGGGGGAGAGGGAGACGGGGAGAGCGTTGCGGCGGCCGACGGAGGCGGGAGGGGGCGGCCGCCGCCGGCGGCGGCGGCGGCTGGGGGAGCGGGGCTAACCCTAGTCGCGGGAGCGGTCGGCCGCTCTCCCCTGTTCCTCCAGCGTTTCAGATTATAACCACAAAGCCTATCAAGCTGATAAAATAAATTATATCATAATGAAAGTTTTTCTTTCATTTCTTTTAGCAGTGCAACACCGCCTATAAATGCTCCTCTCTTGCTAATCAACCTGCAGATACATGCATACAGCAGCATAGCTGCATAGGTGTAGCCACCATTTGCAAATCAACTAATCAAATACGAACGAGCTTAACGATGAGGCTGCTTCTGTGTTTCTGCATCTTCCTTGTCGTCCTCCTCGCCGGCTCCTCCTCCGACTCCCTCTCCGAGCGCTGCCCCCTGCAGCACCGCCGGCAGCTCCACGACGTCGTCGTGAGGCTGCAGGCGACAGCGGCGGCGAGCACTGCGGCTGCAGTAGGGCCACGGCAGGAGATCGCCGATCCGGTCTATGGGACCTCCAAGAGGGTCAGTCCGGGGGGATCCAACCCTCAGCACCACCGCTGATCGATCCTTTGCTTGTTCCATCCATGGCCAAACATTACAAAGTCACCAATCCACCCCCCATGGCTTCGTCAAGCAGCCAGGCAATAATCTTCCTGATCTGTCGCTTAGTGAACACGGCTAGGCGTACAGTGATAGGTATCCATCGGCTTCATGTATACTTAGTTTGCGGCAAGAGAATATTATTAGTAATAGTAATCACAATAAAGGGCAAGAGTTTAATCAAAAGCGTCCTTTTACTCGCAAGCTCAAATCAATGGAAAAAATAGCGTGTGATGAGAAAATATCATGGCTAAAAATATATAATTAGCGTGTTATTAGCAAGACATTGTACACTGATTTATTAGGGAGGCATTGCTCAAGATGCTATAATGTGTTATTAGCGACGCTATTTTCTCACTGGCTCAAATGCATCCGCAATGAACAGTAACAATATATAAAAACTCTGAAATTTCTTGGCAACAAGGATTGACGGATTATCTACATATGTGAAAAATTTCCTGGAGGAAAAACATATCTAATGTCTTGGGAAAGAAACAGATTAAATGCTTTCAAAATTAGTTCTTTTGGACCATTGACCTTTTTCCCATAGCATAAATGATTTTCCTGATGAACATTTGTACATATGTAGTCAATTCGTTAATGCTTGTTGCAAAAGAAAAACATTTTTTTACTATCCTTTTCAAATTTTACTGTTCATGGGAAGCATTATCCATTTGGTAGATCGCCTCTCCATAGGGTTAGGGCAGGAAATGGTTTGGAAGTCTCCAACGTAGCGTACAATGATCTGATGGCACGTCATACATACGATCTGAGTTAGAGGATTGTTCGTCCATGATTTGAGAGTGTGTCCATTTTTTGCTTTTTTTCCGAGCTAGACAAGAATAATGAAGTAACTGAAATGGGAATAGCCTGTAACTCTTTTTTTTTGAACGGGGAGACAAGGACGCAACTAGAGAGAGAGAGAGAGCACTCAGCCAGGATACAACATGAGAGCGTCGAGCAGCTGGCAACCACCCGCACCATAACACCGTGTCCTCTCGGTAACAGCTAAGTACCCGAGCAATGGAGGGCTCCTGCCGTTGAAAACCCACAGCATTCCGATGCTTCCACAGCTGCCAGCAGCACAGCAGGGCGAACTCCACTGCAGACTCGACAACAGAGGCTGCAGACGCTGCAAGACCAGCCAGAAATAGCCTTTAACTTGGTGATTAATCTTTATTGATAGTATCTTGAATGGATGCTTACCGTTTAATTCGTCTGACCAAAAACAGAGAGGATCGGGAAGGAACCAAAAGAGCTCGAGCAGTGAAATTATAGAGAGGGATTCTGAGTTGTCGTTGCACGGAAATGGTCTGATTCTGACATGGCCGAACACAAATGTAACCATCCTATACAAACATGGAACCGGATCCTCTAACATGTCACTCTCATGTAACACTGTGACTTTCCTTCTCTATGTTAGAGGATCCGGTTCCTACAAACATGGTGTTGGTAGGAGGAGTGAAAGATGCATGCACATGAGAGTGAGAGTGAAGGCAAAGCACTACTGCTGCCCTCCCATTGGTGGATGATACGTATAGCCCATTTTGTGAACATGTGTTTTCACAGACTTAAAGTGCCCTTAAAAGATTAAGATATTTGTGTGGCACTTATAGCCGATTTTTTTATTAATAATAAATTTTAATTTTGTAATTCCGAAAATGGTAAGGATAAGTCGGAATTTTGAAAAATAAGAAGGACGCAATGATTACTAGCGTCCAGGCCTGGTCGCTGTTGCGAACCACGTCCACACCTGGACGCTATTGTTAGCAGCGTCCTGTGTGTTGAACTTGGCCTCCGTACAATCTTCCAAACTGATGCGGATTTTCTCCGTTCTTTCTTCATTTGGGTTGGTCATGACACAAATGTTTGTTTTTGTTTGTCGGTTCGTAGGTGCGTCCAACACGGTCAGAAGTATTTCACATTTGCGCTAGCTTTTGAAAATTCTAAAAAATATAACAGCCAACAAAAAGTCCTAATTATATTAATTAAATCTAAAATAAATAAATTAAAACTACAAATACAGTCAGCGGCTGGGGGTAGATCTAGGTAGCATCATCGTTGTCCTCCTCCTCCTTGGTCAGGTCGACGTAGACTGGCGCCACCATCCACGGGAAGGCCTGCTGGAATGCTGCCAGCTGCTGCTCCGCCTGCCATGACCGGCAGTGGTGGTGGAGCGGCGAGTGCGCGTGGTGCACCGGACTCACACTCGAAGCACTACCGGCAATTGACGATGTTATGTACCTAGGGTAGGGTCATGGACCTATCTAGGATACCATACCAAAGGACATCCTTAGACGAAGCTACCTTCCAGTCGACCAAGAGAGACTCCACTCGACCGGCTGGAAGACACTCGACGAACCTAAAGACACTCGACCATGAAGACTCACTCGACCATCAGGAGTTCAGGATCTACTCTGTATCCAAACGGTCTGTAATTAGGTAGTCTTAATGGTCATGATGACACTTTATGTAGGGCGTTACCAGTACTGCCCGACCTTAATGTACTTTAATCCTCTGCTACGCGGGTTGCCTGGGGTCCTGGCGTCCTCTATATAAGCCACCCCCTCCACTGGTAGAAGGGTTCGCACCCCTATAACTCATATCCACATAAACCAGTCGACCGCCTCCGGGCTCCGAGACGTAGGGCTATTACTTCCTCAGAGAAGGGCCTGAACTTGTTAAACACTCGTGTGTACAACTGCTCCATAGCTAGGATCTCGCCTCTCCATACCTACCCCCCATTCTACTATCAGACTTAGAACCACGACAGTTGGCGCCCACCTTGGGGCAGGTGTCTTACGACTTTTTGGAGAAGTTGCAATTTGTCCGATTGCCTTCATCATGGTTTCCGGCGGAACTCTGGTCGAGGGCCGCGAGATCCGTCTCGGCGCGCTCGCTTTCATCGCCGACGACTCCGCTTGGCTCCAGGAAGCACCACTCGACATCGACGCGCTCCCCGTCCGCGGGGCGACGCACTTTCGGACGTGTGTCCGCGGCGTCCTGCTGCGGCAGCCGTCGACCCCATACCGGTCGACTCCTGTGCCGTCCTCCCTTCCTGTCTCCCGCCAGCGCAAGCGCTCTGGTCGGTCGAGACTTCAGCGATGGGTGAGACACGCGGTGGCTCGCCAATCGGCCACCACCCAAGTCGCGGCAATTGAGCCCGACGAATCTCTCTACGGCCTGTTCGACCTATCGACTGGCTCCGTAGAGACTGCATCCGAGTGCGATAGCAGTGATCCAGCGGCGGAGGTCCTGATGGTCAACGGGCCTCGTAGCCCTCCCGGGTTCCCCCGCAATGACGGGATGGACGATGGAGGCGATCCCGCTCAGGCCCATGAAGAGTATCAGCCCGAGCCGCTCACTTCTTCGCAGAGGGAAGAACTTCGCCGCCGGAACATGGATGCCCTGCATACTCCCATTGCAGGAGAAACCCCTGAGGCACGTGCCCTGGAAGAGGCGCGTTTGGCCAACTTGGCTGAACGCACTCGACTGGAGAACCTCCAGCGAGCACTCGACGAGCTTGCGCGTTAGCGAGCACCCGACTCTCGCCGACGTCAGCTCTTTCCGCAACCGACTCAGGTATATCGAACCCCGATTCAAAATTTGGCAGCTGCAGCCCGTATAGCGGAGTCAATTCAGCCCTCTCCGTCGGAGGCTGGAAGAGGCTTGATGCAGATCAGAGATTTGCTTCGGGCGGCAGGAGATCAAAATTCAGCCGTGTCTCAGTCGCGCAATAGGATTCACAGTCGATCCGTCGCTGTGAATACTGTTCAGTCGGCTCACAGCCCAAGGTCGCCTCCGAGGCGAGTGGGACGTGAAGGCCGGCGGGACCACTATGATGATCGATTTGATCGTGATGACAGGCGTCGAGTGCCCACTCCTCCCCTGAGGAGTGGATCTAACGCCCATCGGCAGCAAGATGACAGACGCCAGCTCAGTGTTGGGCGGAGGGCTCCAGTCGACCCCAGAGAGCTAGGCTTTGACGCGAGGTCCATCATCGTGCAAGGTTTGGTCGACCGGAACAGAGCTCATAGAGGTGGCCATGACAGAGATGTGCCCACAAGCAGCCGAGTCCATGTTTCAGGTCCAGAATGCTTTAGCAGAGCCATCAGAGCCGCAGTGATACCCCCCAACTTTAGGTTGGCGACTGTAGTGAGTAAGTTCACCGAAGAGTCTAAGCCTGAAACTTCGCTTGAAGACTACCAGGTGGCTGTTTAGATTGGTGGCGGTAATGATGAGGTGGCCATGGAACATTTGCCACTTATGCTAGAGGGTTCAGCCAGGGCGTGGTTGAATCAGTTAGCTCCTAGCAGCATTTACACTTGGGAAGATCTTTCCCGAGTGTTCGTCAGGACGTTCGAGGGAACTTGCAAGCGACTGGCCGGATTGACAGAGCTGCAAGTTTGCGTACAAAAGTCGAGTGAAACACTGAGAGATTACATCCAGAGATGGATCACTTTGCATCATACTGTAGAGAATGTGTCAGACCACCAAGCGGTCTGCGCCTTCAAGGATGGCGTCAAGAACAGAGACTTGAGCCTGAAGTTTGGTCGAACTGGAGATATGACCCTGAGTCGGATGATGGAAATAGCCACCAAGTACGCCAATGGCGAAGAAGAGGACCGACTCCGGAGTGGCAAGTACAAGCCGAGTCAGTCGGAGAAAGGAAATTCCAGTCGGAAGCAGAAGCGGAAGGCCGAGCCAGCTGCTCCTGGAGAGGCTCTGGCCGTGACTCAGGATAAATTCAAAGGGAAGCCCAAAGGATCTTGGAACCCCAAGAAGGTGAAAGATAAGGAAGGTAATGACGTGATGGACCTACCGTGTCATATCCACACGAAGAAAGATGAAGAGGGTAACTTCATCTACCCAAAGCACACCACTCGCCAGTGCCGGCTCTTAATCCAGCAGTTTCAGGGAAAACAGCCGAAAGACAAAGAGAAGGAATCGGACAAGGCTGA